TAGTAGTAGTAGTAGTAGTAGTAGTAGTGTAGTAATAGTAGTAGTAGTAGTAGTGTAGTAATAGTAGTAGTAGTAGTAGTGTAGTTATAGTAGTAGTAGTAGTAGTAGTAGTAGTAGTAGTAGTAGTAGTAGTAGTAGTAGTAGTAGTAGTAGTAGTAGTAGTAGTAGTAGTATAGTAGTAGTAGTAGTAGTAGTAGTAGTAGTAGTAGTATAGTAGTAGTAGTAGTAGTAGTAGTAGTAGTAGTAGTAGTAGTAGTAGTAGTAGTAGTAGTAGTAGTAGTAGTAGTAGTAGTAGTAGTAGTAGTAGTAGTAGTAGTAGTAGTAGTAGTAGTAGAGTAGTAGTAGTAGTAGTAGTAGTAGTAGTAGTAGTAGTAGTAGTAGTAGTAGTAGTAGTAGTAGTAGTAGTAGTAGTAGTAGTAGTAGTGTAGTAGTAGTAGTAGTAGTAGTAGTAGTAGTAGTAGTAGTAGTAGTAGTAGTAGTAGTAGTAGTAGTAGTAGTAGTAGTAGTAGTAGTAGTAGTAGTAGTAGTAGTAGTAGTAGTAGTAGTAGTAGTAGTAGTAGCAGCAGCAGCGTCGTGGTCGTCGTCGTCGTGGTCAGGCGCGTGTCGTCGTGGTCGTCGTCGTCGTGTGTGGTCGCGTCGTCGTCGTCGTCGTCGTCGGTCGTCGTCGTCGTCGTCGTCGTCGTGGTCGTCGTGGTCGTCGTGGTCGTCGTGGTCGTCGTCGTGGTCGTCGTCGTCGTCGTGTGTCGTCGTGGTCGTCGTGGTCGTCGTGGTCTCGTCGTGTGTCGTCGTCGTCGTCTGGTCGTCGGTGGTCGTCGTGGTCGGTCGTGGTCGTCGTCGTCGTCGTGGTCGTCGTCGTCGTCGTCGTGGTCGTCGTGGTCGTCGTCGTCGTCGTCGTGGTTCGTCGTCGTCGTCGTGGTCGTCGTGGTCGTCGTGGTCGTCATGTGTCGTCGTGGTCGTGGTCGTCGTGGTCGTCGTCGTCGTGGTCGTCGTGGTCGTCGTGGTCGTCGTCGTCGTCGTGGTCGTCGTGTCGTCGTCGTCGTGGTCGTCGTGGTCGTCGTGGTCGTCGTCGTGGTCGTCGTGTCGTCGTCGTGGGTCGTCGTCGTGGTCGTCGTGGTCGTCGTGGTCGTCGTGGTCGTCGTGTGGTCGTCGTGTCGTCGGTCGTCGTGGTCGTCGTGGTCGTCGTCGTCGTGGTCGTCGTCGTGGTCGTGGTCGTGTCGTCGTCGTGGTCGTCGTCGTCGTCGTCGTCGTGGTCGTCGTGGTCGTCGTGGTCGTGTACCTTCTGTTTAAACTCTTGGTCCTTTATTTCTTTCAAGTTGATGATGACGTTAAAATAAGCTCCAAACACGGCCGTCTCCAGAGCCTTGACCGCCACCTGCAACAGAACATCTGGACCGTTACACACGTCTGGACCGTTACACACGTCTGGACCGTTACACACGTCTGGACCGTTACACACATCTAGAGTACTGTGTGTGTTGGTCACATGACTCTCACCTGGGCGTCTGATTGGCTCCTGTGTGTGTGTGTTGTGTGTGTGTTGGTCACATGACTCTCACCTGGGCGTCTGATTGGCTCCTGTGTGTGTGTGTGTGTGTTGGTCACATGACTCTCACCTGGGCGTCTGATTGGCAGGTGGCGTTGCCGTGGAGACACAGCTCCTTCAGGTGAGTCCAGAGTCCAGAGATTTTCTGAGCCAAAGACAAAGGAACTTTAACGGCCTCCTGAAGCCCGGCCTGGACCTGCTGCTCCCTCCTGAAACACAGACCACAGACCAAACCGGGTTTAGACCACAGACCAGACCACAGACCAGACCAGACCCAGACCACAGACCACAGACCCAGACCCAGACTACAGACCACAGACCAGACCACAGGCCAAACCGGGTTTAGACCACAGACCAGACCACAGACCACAGACCGGCCTGGACCTGCTGCTGCCTCCTGAAACAGATTCGGGTTTAGACCTGGGACCAGTCCTGGTTCATGAGGAAGACTCAGAGGAAGACTCTGAGGAAGACCCTGAGGAAGACCCTGAGGAAGTCCTGGTTCAGTCCGGGTTCAGACATGGTTTAGTCCAGGTTTAGTCCAGGTTTAGTCCTAGTTTAGTCCCGGTTTAGTCCTGGTTCAGTCCTGGTCTCACCTGGTTCTCTCCTCGTCTGTGTTCTTGGGCATCTTCAGCGCGTCCTGTCACAAAAATCAGTTTTATTTTTGTGTCTTGTTTAAAATGTGAGCTCTCTGTTCAAGACAATTTGTGTTTTTAGTTTTTTAAAGTGCCATAAAATCATCAAAGATTTAATGTTTACCTTTTTTTTTTTTTTTCCACTGACGTTGACGTGACCATAAATATTTAACCCATTAGATTCAGTCGGTTTGTGCCCAAAACCACAAACACAAAATTCAGATTATATGAAGTCATTCAATGATAATATTATATGTTTGACTCTGGCTCTTCTCAGTGTGACTGGTCCATCAGTGTGACTGGTCCATCAGTGTGACCGGTC